ATGATTCAATACAACAAAATAAAGACATTTAAAAGATGAAATATGTGTTCAACCCCTGAGGTTTTGATTTAAAGAAACTGTCCCCCTGAGCAGTTTAGTAGAATAACTCTGTATTAATGTTTCAAAATAAGCTGMTTTAAAGCCATCATTGACCATAAACTACATATCCCATAAAGCATATTGTTTTTTAATAAGAATTTCCTGTTGGAAAGTGGGAAAGGTTAGAATTCAAGATGAATTCAACAGTAAATRAAGCTCTTTTACTTTTAATAGTATTTCTGTAGCATTTATTTCACAWTTAGTCAGTGTTTATAGGAGGATGAGTTGAAATGCTGTTTCTGTGCAGGAAATACCAGGTAGAGCTCAGTTATTGATTGTTAGCGGGGCTCAGCTGGAACATTGAGGCAAGGATTGTGACATTTTTGAGTTTTTTTTTGTCAAAGTTAAATATGAAGTTGYGAGTCTGAAGTAGATTTAACTTTCACTGAATCAAAACATCAGTTCAGAGTTAAAACGTTCAGTTTATTATCAATTAAATGATGTAAAAATAAGTTTTAAACCAGATGTTTTAACTTTTTCACCTGAAACTTGATTAGTTTGTAATTTTTCCTATACTGTATCTGTGGAATAAATTTAAAARGTCAAACAGGTTTTGTTTTATTTGGACCCTGGATGACTAAATCTGATTTATTTATACAAATATTTACGAGGTGCTGATCAGATGGGTTTTTAGAGTCTCCTGGTGTTTTAAATACTGTTCCTCTGCCATCATTGGTTTGTGTTTTGGAGTGTGGAGGTGATATTTTTGGGCAGGATGTTGTGACCTCAAGTCTAAAAAATCTGTTTGTACGTTGGGTCAAATCTCAGCTCTACTTCCTGTTTACTGCTGCAGGACAAATCCCACCATTGACCTCCTTCAGTGGTCTTTACATTTGACGTTTTATTGATCTGCAGGGTTTATTTTTTTGTTTGGTGTGAAAATGAGCTTCAGACATGAATTGTTTGCTATGACTGTTGTAAATTGTTTGGTAGGAAGTGGGTAATGTCTCTGCGAGTCATTATGCAAAGGAACATCTGCGTATGATAAGACGATGAGGTCATCGAAAAGCAAAAACTGAACAATTAACCAGACAGAGAGAGGRTCCAAGACAAAAGCAAATTAAACTGTAGTCTGTAATTAACTGTCCGTTTGTGCTGAGATGAGAGGATGAAGCCATCATCTTAAAAATAAAACACAATCTTTAGATATTTCAAGTAACTTTTCATCCCAGCTGTGTATAAAATTCTTTTTAGCTGTGGTCAGGTGKTTTTAGGAGCGATGATGTCACTTCCTGTGTGGGCCACGCTGATAGAGAGGTATTTAGTTCCAACCTGATTCACCTTTGCACACTTACAACGTGCACGTCGTGTATTTCTCCCTTTTATTCTGCTCCCTYTCTGCCAGCGTCACTGCCTCTGTGTTGTCGCGTCTCTGTTAGCAACATGTCGACAGGTCAACAGGTACCTGCAGGAGCGCAGGTTGTGTGATGCTGAGTGAAGTCTAGACGTTTGGTTGAATGGACCTGTGGGCAGATGAAGCTCTGAATGAGGGTGCGATTGTAGCGGTTGGAGTTTCCAGGAGGGAGGGAGGGTTTGAGGACAGCCTCGGTCTGAGCGCTGAATGGTTTGACTGGTTTAGTTATTACAAGTTGGGAAAAAAAAATGGTTTGAGGTCAGAAAGGCTCTGGATTGGCGACTTGTTTGAAACGGGGGTTAATGTGAAGTCGGTCGGGTCACATGAGGAGGACAGAGGGGCTCGTGGAGGGGAGGGATCAGGGTTTTAGGAGCAACAACAAGCTCTGGACTCTAGATGCCACAAACAATTTTCTATACAAGATTAAACTCTCGACCTTCATGTGAACAAAGGGCTGCTATGGAGATCGACTCATTACCCTGAAAACTGCACAAAGATGCTTTCAAAAACAGCTCCGAGGCTAAAATTTAAAAACTCTTGACAGGCTTTCAATCTCATTACCGTTAAAACTTTCAGCTTTTTGTTTTTTGTTTTYGGTAAAGGAAGCGTCGGTCCGCAAACTGACTGAACTCATCTCTGGGTGGATTTGGGGTTAAAGGTCACCGAGGATCACTCACAGGGTGTTTGCTCACAGTGACACACACTCACTCACAGCAGAATCACGACCTCCAGGGTGGAGAGGAAAGGTTAACTCAGCAGATGAATTAGAAATGAGGCGTAAACGTTACAAACGTCAGGAAAGAGTGAACGGGTGGGAGAGAGAGGAAAAACACAGAGATAACGGTGACGGATTAAAAAGTGTTGCAAGCGTYGTGTCGTAACCTCTCCTCTGGATGTCTAACACGCTCCGTCATTCCACCGGGGGGGTGAATTTATATGTTGTGTCACAAAGGGGCGAGGCTGCGGCCTCCACCTCAACCTGAGCTGATGAAACATGTTTGGATCACAGCTGACGGTGCAGCGCAGGTTTTCCCACACTGTCAGGACTCCGCTCCGTCCTGCAGAACGAGCTGCTGAAGGCTCGCCTGCAGCGCAGAGACAAACATTTAGCAACTCTGCAGGTTTTAAATATACAAATTAAATTACGTMGAGTGGAAAATGCTGGATAATTACRGTTTTATTAGACATGTTTAGTCAAATTTAAGCTTTTTCTTAAAGATTTTTGCAGTGGAAGCACCCCGCCTCGACTGACACAACAGTTTAATGAGTCAGTTCTAGTCTAAAATAAACAGTGAAAAACAGTTTTACTGTCATTAATTTGGGTTGGGCAATGTTGGGAAAAAAAAATATTAGTTACGATTATATGTGGCATTTAGCCAAAACAGGTTTTGGCAATTAATAGAATACAATTGCAAGTTTTTGAGTCTGTGTTCAAAACTTCAAATTTAATTCAATTCAATTTATTTATATAGCGCCAAATCACAACTGTTGTCTCAAGGCACTGTACACATAAAACAATAAATCTTTAGAAATCATTACTTAAACTAAATTCGTCATTTTAGCAGCCACGGCCCACCAGCATTTACTTTGCTGCTCGTAAGAGACAGATTAGCTGAGTGCTTCATAGATTGTGAGCTGATTTGTACTGGTTAGTGGCAGTATTTTAGGCAATTAAACAAGATCGTAGTGTTAGCGTTAGCTACGCATTAGTGTTGCATTAGCAGAAGCTTTACATTAGTGTTGGCTCCATGTTAGCTTTACATTGATAGCTCCACAATAGCATTAGCTCTGCATTAGCATTAGTTCTGTGTTAACATTAGTGTAGCTCGGCATGAGCAGGAGCTCTACATTAGTTATCTCCACATTAGCATTTGTGTTAGCTCTGCATTAGTGTTTGCACAACCTTAGTGTTGGTTCTACATTAGTTTTAGCTCCACGTTAGTCCTGCATTGGTGTTAACGATAGCGCCCTGTTAGCTTTAGCATTTGCTCCACGTGAGTGTTAGCTCTATGTTTCCAATTTGTGTTGGCTAAATCTTTTAGTTCTGTGTGGCTGTTTTTAATTCYTGTAAGCATCATTCCACACTTTTTATTGATAAATGTAGAAAAATTGAATATGTCAGTTATGTGTTTATCCTCTTTAAGTGTTCATGTTTGATGTGATCCATGTGAAAGTGTAGCTTTGTGGGTGTTTTTTTTTTTTTTTTTTGTAAGATTAGTTTCCACTAAAGCTGAAAAATGAGTCTGAACTTGTTTGCTGCAGCTCTGAGCAGTTTAATACAAACTGATCCCAGAGCAGTTGTTTTTTTTTCAGTCAGGACTGAACTAAATTATGCTTCAAAAACTTCTGCAGAAGATTTTAATTTTCTTCAGTCTGAGCTCTGAAACAATAAACCAGTAAAGATTTTCTTCTAAGAGTCCATCTTCTGTTGTYGACTAACATGTAATTGGGAGAAAGTGGTGCTTATTTGTGCTTATTTTAACTTGTCCAGTTTTATACACGTACTTTATTTGTTTAAATTTTTGTCTTAAGAACAAAGCATCTGTTTTAATGCATCTGCTGCATCATTTTTGTTTAATAAGCTGAAAGGAATAAAGAATAAAAAAGATGTCTGTTCTGAACTCGGTGTGCTGCAAACAAACACGAGCAGTTTTATGTTTGCGTGCGTGTTTGTGAGGCTCCAGCTGGTCCTGAGAAGTCAGATTAATGATTTTGATTTGATTTATTTATTTAACAGGAAAAGATTATTAAAAATCAAGCCTGACTCAGCATAATTGCTGTTTTACAGCAGGTTCCTGTTCTGCAGCACATAAAACACTCAGAATTACAGCATCACAATCACATCATTATACACCATAGACACAAAGACAAACAAGCATACCAAATTTTAAAAAGGCAGCATTTGCAAAATAGGACGTCTAAATATGAGCACAACAAAAAGTGTCCAGCAGATGGCAGACAAGAGTCTGTAGTTTTGAAATGGACTTTATGTTTTGAGGAATGTCATTCCATGCTTTAGTATAAACATAGAAGAAAGACCTCTGGCTGTAACAGTTTTTAAAAGTTGGTAATATCAGTTGTCCTTTTTGTAACAGATCTAGTTGAATGACCACTTTCAGAATTTGATTTGGGCAGCAATGCACAGAGAGTTCCATAACTGAAAATTGAAAATGAGAAACATTATCCAGCGACACTTGGTTCTGTTCCGCTCGGTTAAAGGAAGTCGTGTGTTTGGATCTGCAGATGGTTGGGASCAGGTTTGTCTCTGGTTCAGATCAGATGAAAAGCCGCGGGACTCAAAGAAACCTTTGGTTTGACACATCGAGTTTAATGTAGAGTCTGACTGCAGGAGCCTGTTGAACACATTTGGTTTTTGTTTGTCTCGTGAAGCTAAATTAAAGTTGCCTGAATCGGGCCGTATCGGTTCTTTTAAACTGCAAAGAGACGCAGCTTCTCATCTTCACGGAGAACTTAAAAGGATCAACTACAGATCCTGAGAAGAAATGCACAAATGTTTAAAAGGAGTCTGYCTGTTTCTCATCCTCAGACTCTAAAGCCATTGTAGATGGGAACCTGAAACTGATCCTGGGTCTTGTCTGGACTCTGATCCTGCACTACTCCATCTCCATGCCGATGTGGGAGGGAGAGGATGAGGAGGTAACGGCCGGCGTAAAASTCAAAGATCAAACTGGTTTTTATCTCAAATCGAGATGATTGTTGATTTGTTTTATTTATGTTTTTGTTCAGGCAGAGTCAAAGACACCTAAACAGCGTCTGCTGGGCTGGATTCAACACAAAGTTCCTGACCTGCCGATCACCAACTTCAGCCAGGACTGGAGAAACGGGAGGGCGCTGGGAGCTCTGGTGGACAGCTGCGCTCCAGGTACAGTTCAACCCTGCAGGGCTACTTACCTGATGACATCATCTCGTATGAGCCACCATCATATACCTGGTTCTGTTTAAAAAATGAGGTTTGCACAAACAGAACCGCAGCACGACGGCTTTTAATGATTTTTTTTCTCGACGCTCTCAGGCTTGTGTCCAGACTGGGAGACCTGGGATCCAGTTAAACCGGTGGAGAACGCTACTGAAGCTATGCAGCTGGCTGACGACTGGCTCGGCATCCCGCAGGTGAAATTTAAATTAAACATTTTAACAACTTGCACTTAAAAAATTAGTGGTTAGTTGTTCCCAGTTTTTATGGTTCTGATGTAATTGACCATTTCGTAGTTAGAAATGAATTTGCATAATTCCAATAGAGTTTTTATAACAACTTAAGGTTTATCTAGTTGACCTTTGACCCAGAAAAATTAGGCTTCCCTTTGTGCTTGTATGTCAGCACCTTGTCGGYTCCAGTGTACCCCCTTCATTGCCTGATCTCCCTGACTTTTGTGTATTTTTATTWATTTTTTAGGTGATCGCTCCGGAGGAGATCATCGACCCCAGTGTGGACGAGCAGTCGGTCATGACCTACCTGTCTCAGTTCCCYAAAGCCAAACTAAAGCCCGGAGCTCCCCTCAAACCCAAACTCAACCCCAAGAAGGCTCGAGCTTACGGACCCGGTGAGCTCGCTCAGATCTTTGCTCCCAACTTAACACTTAAAAAGGCCGAATTCTTAAACAAGAAAAAAACTTGAAGCCTGGTTAGTTGATGTGCATTAAATTAAAAGTTCACACCAGAAAATAAAAGCACACAAGGACATAAAAAACAGCATTTAAAGGTGAAACCAGTTCCTGCTGGTTTGACAATGACAGGAAATAGCTGAACAATGGGCTGCCCTCACGTGGTACGAGAACACACACACAGACACACAYATACACGAGTAACTAATGAGGTGGCTCCCCAACATTTAACCCTGAGAGGAAATACTCAGAATATCTGCAGAGGCAACAAACATCCACACTAAAAGCTTAAAGAATGCAGATTATCCCTCGTTACCGCCCGTCTACAACAGGGTTCCTGCGGATCCTTAAAACGTCTTAAAAGGCCGTGAATTCATCAATCCAAAAATAAGGCCTTAATTTGCCTGAAAAGGTCTTAAATCAATTTTCAGAAGTCTTAAAAATGTTAACACATTGTAAGTAGGATGACTGTTATTCGAATCAAATATTAAAATAGTGACATTTATTTATTTTTGAAATATTCCCATTCAGATGTTCCCTTCTGACACCACTTCCTGTTATTTCACATGCAAATATATCAACAACTGTCCATCTGAGCCATGTGAAATTTGTACTCTAATATGTTAATACTGTTGTCTTTCCAAAAATGCATTCATATTTCTTACAAAAATTTGATGTCACAAGCACTTTAAGGTTGCATCTACAGCAAGCTGGGTTTGAGAACCCACTGTGTGTCATAAAACTCCACATTTTGGGTCGTTAGATGATTTCCAGAAGTTAAATGAAGTTTAAAACTGACTGCTAAGAATGTTTGTTTTTTTGTGCTATATTTGACAAAATAGCAGTTAAATATGGATAAAAACAATTGGTCTATTAGCAATATTTGAATAATTCAACCAAAAATACTTTGATTCATGAGTTTCTGCCACAGTTTTATTTATTTATTTTTTTTGTCATTTGTGTTTATTGTGAAATTGGTCTTAAATTTGATTTCACTTGGCATTAAAAAGTCTTAAAAAGTCTTAAATTTAACTTGCCTTAAACTGTAGGAACCTTGTACAATAAACTGTTTCTATAAACCTTATTTTGATCCGTTTGTAGCAGCAGGTTTTTATAATTTTAATATTTAAATATAAAACATATTTCTGGTTGTTGTTTAGGTATTGAGCCGACAGGAAACCGGGTTCTGCGCCCGGCCGTGTTCACCGTGGACACGTTCAGCGCCGGTCAGGGACAGGTCACCGTCTACCTGGACCATCCAGACGGCACCCGAGAGGAGGTAACCCCCTCCCCCTTCATCCTCTGATGTTTTTATGAGTCTAACACACTTTAACTGACGGGTCTGGGTTTGTGTTGATTAGCTGAAGGCGGAGCTTAACGAGGGAAAGAAGACGTACACCGTCACCTACGTCCCTCAAGTCACCGGGACTCACAGGGTGAACAGATCTTCTGTTTTTTGTTTTTTGTTTTTTTTCCAAGTCGTTCGAGTTGTGCACGTAAAACAATCTTTATAATTTTGTCGTTTTTTAGGTGACGGTGTTGTTCGCAGGCCAGGAGATTCCCAAAAGCCCGTTTGAGGTGAATGTGGACAAAGCGCTGGGCGACGCCTCCAAAGTTACGGTGAAGGGCCCGGGAATTGAACCTGTGGGCAATGTCGCCAACAAGCCCACCTACTTTGACATCTACACTGCAGGTGAGAGGAGACGAYGATTTTTATTTGTTTGCTTTTGTTTGTTTTTTAGCGCCAACGTTGTCTTTTCTTCTCAGGAGCGGGAACGGGAGACGTGACGGCCATGATCCGAGACCCGCAGGGCCACCAGAACAGCGTGGAGGTGATGATGGAGGATAAAGGCGACAGCGTGTACCGCTGCACCTACCGGCCCACGCAGGCCGGACCACATGCCATTACCATCACCTTCGGCGGGGTGGGAATCCCCCGGAGTCCCTTCAATGTGGACATCGGACCCGGTTGGTTGGGTTTTGTTTTTAAAGTCTGTTTAGATCAGGCATGGCCAGTCCTGGTCCTGGGGGCCACAGCCCTGCTTGTTTTACTTGTTTCTCTGCTCCAACACACCTGATATGAAGGAATAGATGATTATCAGGTTTCTGCAGTACGGAGGACCAAAACTGACATAATTGTAAATAAAATGAACCACTAAATAAATACACTTCAAATGCACCAATTAAATTAAAAAAGTAGAACTTTATATCCTGTTTTATATTTTAATTGATTTTCATATTTATTTTTCCAGGTTAGTTCCAATAAATTAGTCTATATATTTGAACACATAATTTAAATTTTACTCTTTTTAAAAATATATACTAATTATTTTTCCTTTTACTTGTACATGCATTTCTGTGTCGTAAATGTTTATACTTAATTATTTTTATATTTTTTTCCCAACAAGTCTTTTTATTTCAATGTGTTGCATGCTTGTGCCTCAGTTTAGCTTAAAGTTTAGTTTAAAACAAAGGCAAGGAGGAAAACATTACCTGTACATTTATTTTTAACTAAACTTTAAGCTAAACTGTGGCAGCACAAGCATGCAACACATAGAAATAAAAACACTTGGACAAAATTGAAAAAAAAATAATTCAATTTATGCATTCAAGAGACACAAATGCATGTACAAGTAAAAGGAAAAACTGTGTAAAATATATATTAAAAAAACATAAAATTTATCATTTCTTGGAACTAAGCTGGTAAAATAAATATGAAAGTCAATTAAATGATAAAACGTGAGTTAAAGTTCTCCTTTTTAATTTATTTGGTGCATTTTAAATATATTTATTTATTTAAAGGTTCATTTATCTATTTTTGCTTTTATTCCTAATTATGTCAGTGTCGGTCCTCCATACTGCAGAACATGAAGAGGTAGTTCAGTGCCTGAATCAGGTGTGTTGGAGCAGGGAAAAATGTAAAAGATGTAGGGCTGCGGCCCTCGAGGACCAGGATTGCCCACCCCTGGTTTAGATGAAGCTGATATCCCTGAGTGTGTGTCTGTCTCTCAGCCTGCGCGCCAGGCGCCTGCAGGGCGACGGGTCGGGGTCTGCAGCCSACGGGGATGAGGGTGAAACAGGTCGGGGACTTTAAGGTGGACACGAGAAATGCTGGGACTGGAGACCTGAAGGTGCTCGTCAAAGGACCCAGTAAGTGAATTGAATCTGAGTCRCACAGTGGAATAGTTTTTATTTCAAAGCCTGGGAAAAATAAAAATACATGACATGCCGTGTGTTCAGAAGGGGTCGAGGAGCCGGTGAAGCGCCTCTCCAGTCAGGACGGCGTGTTTGCCTACGAGTATTACCCCAGCAGTCCTGGAAAATACACGGTCTCCATCACCTGGGGCGGTCAGCACATCCCAAAGAGGTGAGGGGGAGGGTCTGTTAATAACCCTGGACATGACATCATCTCAGCTGRATCTGTAGARGAATGTCTGCAACTAGTTCTTGTTTGAGTTTGATTCATTTTAAATGTGCAGGAAGTGGTTAAAACTATTAATTATCTGCAGAAAACATTAAACTTAGCTGAAGATATAAACATTGAGTCAGAGATTCTAAGAGTTATTTGGTACTAAAAGTGAAGCGCTTTTCCTGCAGCTAGGTGACGAGAAACAACTTTATTTTTCCTGTTTTATAGCTGGAACTTTTATCACCTGGTGATAAAATAAATCTTAGTTTGTGACGGGGGGCAGTAAAACCCAAAGTGGGAGCTCCGTTACGTCTGTGAAGCGCAGGCAGAAAATCCCAACGGACACTTTTATTTGGTGTGAAGTTGGTTTGTATGCGAGTGAACAGCAGAGGAGCTGTTAGAGTTCAGAACTGCTGAAGATCAAGTTACACTGTCAGGGTTTGTGATTTGATTCTGGACAACCTATGTTTGAGGGTAAACACGCGTGTTTAGATGCCAGTTTACTCTTTTSTTTTTCTTTTTTTATCAGTCCGTTCGAAGTGGCAGTCGGTCCAGAGGCGGGGCCTCAACAGATCAGGGCCTGGGGTCCYGGTTTGGAGGGAGGCGTTGTGGGTAAACCTGCCACCTTTGTGGTCGAGTCCATTGGCAGCGATGTTGGCGTTTTGGGTAAGTTGTAGCTTTTTTTGTGTGTGAATGCTAATCAAGCATTCCTGCTATTATCTTTTTTTTCTTCCTTACATATTTGGCACGTRTCTCGTTGCRAAATTTTTGTGCTATTTTAACAATTCATATATCAAAACATTCAGCTCCTTCAGTTATTTATACCTTTTTTTTTTAGCTACTTTACTATTTCGGCCACATTTTCCCCATTAAAAATGAAGGAGCTGTTTTCTGGTTCGGCTTTTTTTTTTATTTTAGTTTTTTTTTTCTCCTATTGCAGCTTAAATTCTACTCTTTTCTGCTAATTTCTACTTTTTGTGCTTCTTTCAGTTGYTTTCTGATAGTTTCAACTGTTTGCAATTTTAATTACTGTTCAGCTGTTAATAGCTAAAAAAAATTTTTTTTAAGGTAAATTCACATTTTGGTGGTCATTTTAGCTTCTTTCTGCTTAATTCAGCAACCATGTGTCCTTCTGCTTCTTTGTGTTAATTTCAGCATTTTAGCTACATTTTAGCTGTTTTACTGCACATTTTGGCTATTTCAGTTGTACGAAATATTGTCACTTTTTGTGCTTTTGTTCTTTATTTTTGGCTAATTTGACATTTTTTTAGGAAATGCATTTTTTACATTAATTTACAACTTGCATCTAATTTAAGCTTCTTTCAGTTGAATTCTGCTAATTTCAGCTGCTTTTTCTTTTAGCTAATTTACAGCAAATTGCCACACCTCAGCCCTACGTGTTTTACATTTACATCCCTGCTCCAACACACCTGATTCAGTCACTGAACTACCTCTTCACGTTCTGCAGTATGGAGGACCGACACTGACATAATTAATTTATTTTCTTTGTGCTGRTTTGAAAATTTTTACACTCCTTCCACCATCTGTGCGGTAATTTCTACTTGCCTCTGTTACTTTTAACTTTCTTTTGTGAATTTTAGCTACTATTAGCATTGTTTAGCATGTTTCAGCTGTTTTACTATTTTCATCAATTAATTTTTTTCTGAATTCTGCTACTTTCTGCAGCTTCTTTCACACTAGAGATTCTGCAGATTCTTGTTTCAGTTCATGTCTAAAAAAGAAAAAGCGTCCTAATTTGATTTTATTTTCAGGTTTTGCCATCGAGGGCCCGTCTCAGGCTAAGATCGAGTGCGAGGACCAAAACGACGGGTCGTGCGACGTTCGTTACTGGCCGACGGAAGCCGGGGAATACGCCGTCCATGTGACATGTGACGAGGAGGACATCGAGCACAGCCCGTTCATGGCCCTCATCGTCCCCGATGACACCACCAACCACCCAGAGAAGGTCACTAAGACTGAAAATAAACAAGTTTTAGTTTTTCTTTACAAATCTTGAAAGTTAAATTCGTTTTGTTTTTTAGGTCCAGGCGTACGGTCCGGGCCTGGAGACGAGCGGCTGCCTGATCAAMCAGCTGGCTGAGTTCACCGTGAAGGCTGAAGGCGCCGGGAAAGGACCTCTGAAAGTCTCTGCGCAGGTTCAGACGCACACAAAACAGCAACAAATCAAACACATCCGTTCATTTTTAGACGCTTGGCTAATTTCTTAATCTGTTGATCAGGATGCGGAGGGGCTCCCCGTGGAGGTGAAGGTCAGGAGTAAAGCCGACGGGCTCTACCAGTGCTCCTACACGCCCACCTCGCCGCTCAAACACACCGTCTCCGTCACCTGGGGGGGAGTCAGCGTCCCCAACAGTCCCTTCAGGGTAAGCAGCCAATCACAGCGCTCCGCTAACGCAAGGAGCGGCGTAACCCTGTTCAGGTTTAAGAATCTGGTCCAGACGGAAAGCATCAGAGTCGTCTCGTCTGAGCGCACATGTAGAGCGGAAAAAGTTGACGTTTTTGAGTCTGTTAAACAAGAAAGTTTAAAGGAATCCTCATCTGAAGCCAAAAAAAGAAAGAAACCATTGATTATTATCACGTACACGGAGGAGAGGTTCAGCTATTAGCGGACGACACTTTGATTTATCTCTGAAACCGTATCGACTTTCACTGGTGTTAGAGGAGGAATGAGTTACAACATGTTGGTTACGGAGCTCCAGACGTGCTTTAGATGTTTACGGTCATTCTTTCTTATTGAAGCTAACCCCATGAACCCRACTTTAAACCTGACAAATTGATTAACGAGTTCCTGCAGCTTTCACGCTAAGATAAAACACTTCAGCCTCCCCTGATTTCTGAGGTTTTAGTTGCTGCTTTTTGTTCWAATATAGGTCCAAAGGTTTCTACGTCAGTGTTAATAGATTAGGAAATGTTTTAAATGATTCATTTTAATCAATATAACCAGCACTAACATCCACCATGTGATTAAAAATGCATCCTAAATGTTTTTGTTTGTTTAAATCACACTAATCACCACCTCTGTACTGTCTGTGCACTGTTACCACTTTTTGATTTCTTGTTTTTGTATCTTTTATGTTCAAATATGAATCTTCTGCACTGTATTCACTGTCCATGCACTTCATTTGATTTTTTCATTTCTGTAAATCTTGTTTTTTTTTAAGCGTCACTCATCTGAACCTTTTTGATCTCAGCCTCCGAGATCTGAAAACTGAATCTTATCATAACTTAGAGCAAATATGGTTAAATTATAAGACAAATTCTTTAAATCTTATCTAATCTGTCTGTTGTTTACATACTGAGTCGTGTATATGTTGCTACTGAAAAGGGTTTAAAAGGTTTAAAAAGTTCAGATGAGTGAAGCTTTTTTAATGTGCATGTAAATGAAAACTTTTTCACCACCACAGAAAGTATTAAAGGGAAAATTTGGTCCTGTCTGCTGAGCTGCCTTTAAAAAAATAGCTCAAACTTTTAACTTCAGTATCTTAATTCAAATAAATCATTTATTTTTACCTGTGAAAAGGTTTTCTTCTATATTTACTAACTCCTCTGCTCTAAATCCACCTTTTTAAGTTTGTATTTTGATCACGGTTTGAGATTTCTCTCCCGTTTTGTTGGTTTTTGAATCAGTTTATCAGTTGCCCTTTGTTCAGTTTCACCTGCAGGGTAAACAAGTCTTTAAGAATCCACAAACAGATCTCAGATCAGTCGCTGCACCGTTCAGGAATTTCTGCCGATGCCAGCAGGAGTCGAGCAGTTGGCAAAGACTTTTTTTCTTTTTTTATGTGTGTGAACAGATAAGAGAGCAAAAAGTAAAATGGAGGAGCTGTTCAGGCAGGAATTRAATCGTTTAACGTTTGTTTCCTGCCTGTTCAGGTCCACGGGTCATTTCAGGAGCTCAGGACTGAGAAAAAGTCATGTTTGTGAGTTTATTGGAGTTTGGTTCGGAGTGGCGCTGACTGCACCTTTTTTTGACTTCACTGTTGGACTGAGAACGGTCACGCCCAGCAGCTCGGAATCCACGGCTTCAACACCTTTTCATTAAATGTTAAGACATAAAAAAAAAMAACAAGACTCGACTTAAACAGCAATAAAGCATGGAACCGCACATAACCCCTCTGCAGAAATGAGGTTTAGGTGTAAACAAGTTTATGAACGGTGGAGCAGAACGGTTTACAAAAATCAAGTTGTTGCATTTCAAATTCCTGTGAATCTGACTTTTATGTGGAGTTTCAGACTAAAACCCTCTTTGAATCGTTTAAAAYGTGAAAACAAGTCAGCTGATAAACTGAAACTACTCCTTATTGGGTTTATAATCTGCAGAAAGTCTTTTGAATTACACATTTCTTACATCTGATCTGTTATAATCCTATAATCAGAAGCTTTAAATGTATGAGCTTTGAACATTTTGTTAATTTCTGTTTTATTTTTGATCTCTTTTCACTTTAATCACAGTTTGTATCTTTTTATATTCACTTTATCTGCCCACTAAGGTGGTTTAAAGTGGTTTCAAAATAAATTATCACATTTCATGTCAAAGTTTTGTTGTCTTGTTTGGCTCTTTCTTTTGTTTAAACCTTAATTTTTGTTTTAATTAATGTCATGGTTYGTTTTCAAGTATTTTTTCAACATAAAATAACACTTTTATAGGAGTATATTTTAAATTCTGATGATTTTTTTCTCCCACCTTGTACAGAGGATCTAAATAAGATTAACATTTTGCTTTAAACTGTAGAGTTTCTCAGGTAAAAATGTTAAACGATGAGGAGCATAAAACCAGCAAAGGATTTCAGAAAACTGTTTAATACAACCCTAAAACACTTTACACATCAGAAAGTTACCATAAATAGATGTTTGTTGTGTTTTACCAGGAATTAGTCAGGATCACTTGTTTCTGCTGACATTATTTTACAACCTCAGCTCGATAAATTTCAGAAATGTAGTTTTGAATTTTTTTTTAATTTCGTTTACAAAGGTGCTTTTTACCAAGAGAGRCAATTAAATTGAAACAAATGTGTGAATAGAATGAGTTTAAACTGTAAATTAAACCTACGAAGCTAATTAAAACAGTTAAACGTTCTTTAATCTATTTTTTTATTTAACACTGATCTGCCTGAAAATTCACATCCAGATGTTCAAATATTCAATATCTTCATTCAGCTAATATCAAGAGAATTAGTTTATGTAGATTATAAATTAAACATTTAAGATTTTTTTTCTACTTAATGGCAAAATAAAAAATGAAATGTCCTGCTGCTGTTGTTTAAAATGCCGTTGTGACGTGAGCAAAGAAATTCTTCCAGAGTCTCTTTAAAAAAAAACTTGATTTTAATTTTAAAAATGATGTCACTTCCTGTCTGTCCGCAGGTGAACGTGGGTAAAGGAAGTCACCCCAACATGGTGAAGGTGTTCGGCCCCGGGGTGGAGAAAAGCGGGCTGAAGGCCAACGAGCCCACACACTTCACTGTGGACTGTTCAGGAGCCGGAGATGGTAACACAAACACACACATTAACACACACGTTGCATCGTACAAATGTGTCTGAAGGTGTGCAAACATTTTAGGGTTTTGCTCAACTTTACGGAGATTATGGAGGTTTAATAATGAGATCTAATGGTCTGCTTCATCTATCTGTCATAATAGATGCAGATATGTCTTATAATTAAGTAAATTGTTTCCTAATGAGTGAATTAACTTGATTTAATTCATAAAACTAAAAGAAACCACAACTACTTCCTCCTCCGGCTCAACGAAGCAGCTCTGAAGCTCTCCGTGTGTTTTAGCAACAGGTTTTGTTTTGATGTGTAAACAACACACCAGGACAGAAAGAGAGAGTTTCACTGGTTTAACCTTTCAGGTGAACAGTTTCTGTTGCATGCCATCTCAAGTCTGTTCTCATTCCCTGAATTTTTACTCCTGCTCACTTGTTTCCATTAATAAAAATGCCAAAAGCTGCAAGTATGATCAGACAGACAAAGAAACTATAAACCGAGATGAACCAGCTCCCTCTTGAGGCAGAAACTTTTTTTAAAAAACTGATTCTCAAAGAAGTAAAGWAATCTTGTATAAAACCGTAGGTGACATCAGCGTGGGGATTAAGTGGGATTCCACCACTGACAGCGACCAGGAGGCCGACGTGGACTTCGACATCATCCCCAATGCCAACGACACGTTCACCGTCAAATACGTCCCTCCGGCTGCGGGAAAACTCACTGTTAAAGTCCTGTTCACCGACAAGGTCAAAACAAAAACTGGAAAGCTTTTTTTTTTTTTTAAATGTGGACCAGCGTGTTAAAAAATGCAAATTATTTTTGCACACAGGAAGTTCGACAAAGTCCCTTTATTGTCAAAGTAGACCCGTCCCACGATGCGTCGAAGGTTAAAGCAGAAGGTCCGGGAATCGCTCGCACTGGTGAGACTTTAATCTGGTTTTCTTATAATTTAGAGTACTGGAACCATCCAGGTTACTTTGAGGATTTTTTTTGTCATTGTGACCAATTTTTATTGGCTTTAAATAAATTTCTGCGCTCTCGAACTCGTGTCCAGGTGTGGAGAGCGGTAAGCCGACCCATTTCACAGTGGTGACCAAAGGAGCCGGGAAAGCACCGCTGGATGTTTCCTTCTCCTCTCCCGTCAAAGACTTCGACATCATCGACAACTACGACTACTCTCAGACCGTCAAGTACATGCCAGCCCAGCAGGTAAACCAGACCATCATCAGTATAGCGTTTGAGCATGTCGGTTCTGAGGAAGCGACGTTGGAGTCACCACGATTAATTGTGTCTGAATTGAAAAGAACAGACTCTTTTTTTAAAGTCTCGTCTCAGAACCAGTTGTCTGTTGTTTTTTAGGGGGAGATGAAAATCGCAGTGACATTTGGAGGAGATCCGATTTCCCGGAGTCCCTTCACRGTTGGCGTCGCTGCGCCGATGGACCTCAACAAAGTCACCGTGGACAACCTGGATGGACGTGAGAAACCTTTTTTTTTTTCTTTAGAAGTTGAATAATATAGATGTAGAGRAAAATAAGCAGCAGCAGATTTTAAGAATTAAAACAGGAAGTGGTTTATGGTCTAAATGTGTTTCAGGGGTGGAGGTGAACGAGGAGCAGGAGTTTGAAGTGAGCACTAAAGGTGCAGGAGGYCAGGGTCACCTGGAGGTGGAAGTGGTGAGTCATCGTTTTATTTGTTTATCATCWCTTCTTGTTTCGTTTTTCTAACTTTGACATGTTTTGTAGCTGAGTCCCAGCCAGCGAGCGGTGCCGTGTAAAGTGGAGCCTCTGCCCAGGAAAGCAGACGTCAGTTTGGTCCGTTACACCCCGACGGAGGAAGGGGTGCACGCTGTCAACGTGTCTTATGAYGGACACCCCGTACCTGGGAGCCCCTTCCCTGTGGAGGCCCACCTGCCTCCGGACCCCAGCAAGGTGAAGGCGTTCGGCCCCGGGCTGAAGGGAGGTTTGGTCGGAAACCCGGCYGAGTTCACCATCGACACCAAAGGTGCTGGCACCGGCGGTCTGGGGCTGACTGTGGAGGGGCCGACCGAAGCCAAGATCGAGTGTTCGGACAACGGCGACGGGACCTGCTCCGTGTCCTACCTGCCYACCGAGCCGGGAGACTACCTGGTGAACATCCTGTTCGAAAATGTACACATCCCCGGCTCGCCATTCAGAGCCGACTTCCAGAGGCCCTTTGACCCTTCGAAGGTGGTGGCCTCGGGGTCCGGCCTGAAGCGGGCCAAGGTAAGAACAGATAGATTCTCTTTTTATTAACTTTTTGTCGTCAAACGGTCTCATGATGATGATTTTGCAGGTTGGGGAGATTAGCGTTTTGAACGTGGACTGCTCTCAAGCCGGCCCGGGTCAACTCAGCCTGGAKGCGGTGCCAGACTCCTCTCCGACCAGCCCTACTGGTTCTGGCCTGGGTTCAGGTACCGCTGAAACGGATTCTTTGGATGTTAACTTTGAATGTCAGATATTCACATCTTCTCACTAGACTGTATTTTTCCAGGTATGAAAGCGAAGACAGAGGTCGTGGACAACAAAGACGGGACCTACACCGTGACCTATGTCCCCCTGACCTCCGGCATGTACACTCTGATGCTGAAGTACGGAGGCAAAGCCGTCCCTGGTTTCCCCACCAAGGTGATGGTGGACCCTGCTGTTGACACCTCCAAAGTCAAAGTCTTCGGACCCGGCGTGGACGGAGAAGGTTGGGAGCGGTCCATCTGAATCAGACCTCTTTGGAAGGGTTCTCCAAGTTGTAAAATTTATCGGTTCTTTTCTTTTAAAGCCGTTTTCAGAGAAGCCACCACAGACTTCACCGTAGATGCCCGACCTCTAACCCGAAGAGGAGGGGACCATGTAAAGGCGAAGATCCGGAGCCCAACCAGAGCTCTGACGGACTGCGAGGTCATCGACAACGCCGACGGGACCTACAGCGTCGAGTACACTCCCTTCGAGAACGGTAAGACCCAGAACCCGGATGGAACTCTTTAAACCAGAGGTGCCCAAAGGTTACCAGAATATAATCTCCTGTCTTATGTAGAAACACTATATTTACACTGAGTCTTTTCAACCATTGGTCCAACTATAGGTACAAGGAGCTGTAGTCAGAAAGTCTTAACTCATGGTGCTCATTTTATCTTTGAATTATGTTAAGATTAAACATAAAATACAAGTAACTTCAAGAGACATTTATATTTGATCTAAGCACACATCTAGATTTGCACACCTTTTAAGACCACATATACTCAAATTTTAAATTATGAAAAGTTTCATGAGCCTTTGCTGTCCGAGCAAACGTTGAATTTTCTCTATGTCCATGGGTTGAAAAAAAATACAAMCAAAATGTGGGCAACTGCACTGGCTGCTAGTTTAATCATAAAAAATACAACTTTCCTTTAAGTAGTTGCATTTCGTGTGTTATTGCATTTGGCCCACCGCCCTCAGACTGATTTTAATCTTGGTCCTCTCAGGGAAAATGTTTGGGCACCCCTGCTTTAAATCGTTGATTTTCATCCACGTTGTATGTTTTTTGGTGTGTTTTTCAGGCGTCCACAGCGTTGAAGTTCTTTACGACGACACTCCKGTTCCTAAGAGTCCGTTCAGGGTTTCTGTGTGTGAGGGATGTGATCCCAGCAGGGTGGTGGCTACTGGCCCCGGACTCCAACAAGCCCTGACAGACCAACCCAACAACTTCAACATCGTCACGAGGTACTTCWGTGCAGCTTTAAAGTTTAGTCCCATATTTATTAAAACAGACGGTACCTCTGATTGGTTAACTGCGAATCAAACTGCTGCTGTTTTTGAACAGAGGGGCAGGAATCGGGGGCCTCGGCATCACCGTGGAGGGTCCGTCGGAATCTAAAATGTCATGCAAGGATAACAAAGATGGCAGCTGCAGCGTGGAGTACGTTCCCTACACGCCGGGCCTCTATGACGTCAACATCACCTTTGGAGGAGAGCACATCCCAGGTGTGATCAGCTTCTTATACCTGTATTTAAAATTTTCCACCATTTCATGAGAAAATTCATGTTTTAGTAAAAGAGGCGAGGCTCTCGTGGTGTCTTATTGAGAAAAGATCCAATAAATAGACTGTATTTAAATTTAAATAGTTGCTTTTCTCTCATTTTTCTGATGTTCCGGTGTTTTATTTTAATCTAATAAAAGACGTGTCGAGTGATTAGGTTTAATGTTTGCAACATGTGGCTGAAGTTTCTGGCTCGCGTTAAAAAGCCACAGTTCAGTTTTATAGACTTGGTTTCAAAGGAAAACGAGGCTCGGCKTGTTTTTTGTGTGTAACACTTTAGTAAGATGCTGTCGGGTCGTATTTTCATCAGCTGGAGGTGCAAAATGTTCCTAACAGATTAAATAGTTTTTTTATCGTTTACATCTGTAGCACATGGGGGAATTTAGTTTTTTGTTTCTTTTTTCTTTTTTCTTTTAAATTAAACTTTCTGAGTTTCTCACTTTGGTTTCTTGTGTTTTTTTTTTATGTTTTGTTTCCAGGAAGTCCCTTTAAAGTGCCCGTGAAGGGCTTGGTGGACTCCAGTAAGGTCAAAGTRTCAGGCCCCGGTGTGGGGTCAGGGGTCAGAGCAAATATCCCACAATCCTTCACTGTGGACTGCAGGAAGGCGGGCGAGGCGCCCCTGGTAGTGGCCGTCACGGCCCCTAAAGGCGTCGCAGTGCCGGTGGAGCTGACGGACGACGGGGACGGRACTCACACAGCATCCTACACCCCGACCGTCGAGGGCCTGCACACCGTGTCCGTCAAATACGCAGATGAGGACGTCCCCCGCAGGTACGCACCTGTTCACCTACGCACCCGTTCACCTACGCACCTGTTCACCTACGCATCTGTTCACCTACGCACCTGTTCACCTGTTTACCTATGCACCTGTTCACCTACGCACCTGTTCACCTACGCACCTGTTCACCTGTTTACCTACGCACCTGTTCACCTACGCACCTGTTCACCTGTTCACCTACGCACCTGTTCACCTACGCACCCGTTCACCTACGCACCTGTTCACCTGTTTACCTACGCACCTGTTTACCTACGCACCTGTTCACCTACGCACCTGTTCACCTGTTTACCTACACACCTGTTCACCTACGCACCTGTTCACCTGTTTACCTACGCACCTGTTTACCTACGCACCTGTTCACCTGTTTACCTACGCACCTGTTCACCTACGCACCCGTTCACCTACGCACCTGTTCACCTGTTTACCTACGCACCTGTTCACCTGTTTACCTATGCACCTGTTCACCTGTTTACCTACGCACCCGTTCACTTCGCACCTGTTCACCTGTTTACCTAAGCACCTATTCACCTACGCACCCGTTCACTTACGCACCTGTTCACCTGTTTACCTACGCACCTATTCACCTACGTACCTGTTCACCTACACACCTGTTCACCTACGCAACTTTTTAGTTCACCACGATTAAAATGAGTGACATTCAGAACTTTAATGTGTTTTTTTATGTTTTTGTTGTTTGTTTATTTATTTTCAGTCCCTTCAAGTTCCGAGTTCTGCCGACTCATGATGCCAGCAAAGTGCGAGCCAGCGGCCCCGGGCTGACCAACGGTGTCCCGGCCAGCTTCCCTGTCGAGTTCAACATCGACGCCAGCGACGCCGGTCAGGGCCAGCTGAGCGTGCAGATCACAGTCAGTAACACACACACACACACACACACACACACACACACACACACACACACACACACACACACACACACACACACATACACATAGATACATACACACATCGAAAAACACTTCAACATTTTAACCGGTTTTGATTCAGGATCCGGACGGAAAACTGAAGCAGCCCAGTATCCATGACAATGGTGACGGTACCTACACCGTGTCCTACATCCCCGACCGCACAGGCCGCTAYACCATCGTCATAAAATACGGTGGCGACGACATCCCTGCGTCGCCCTACAGAGTCCGTGCCACGGCGACCGGAGACGCTAGCAAGTGCACGGTCACCGGTAAGATAAAAGTTAAATGTAAAAACACCTCTGAGGAGGTGAATAAACCAAAGGGGAGGATCTGAAAGTGTTTGTGTTTCAAAGGTCCGGGCRTTGGGCCCACCGTGGCCATCGGCGAGGAGCTGGGTCTGATGGTGAGCACCAAGGGCGCCGGGAAGGGGAAGGTGAGCTGCGTGGTGGTGCAGCCCGACGGCAGCGAGGTGGAGGCCGAGGTGCTGGAGAACGAGGACGGCACCTTCGACATCTTCTACACCGCGCCCGAGCCCGGGAGCTACGTCATCTACGTCCGCTTCGGAGGAGAAAACATCCCGCGCAGCCCCTTCAAAGTCCTGGTGAGAGTCGGACCACCACAGCCCRTGTTCTGTCCGTCTGTGCTACCCATCAATCCGTCCTACATTGTGGCAATGCACAGACCGAGGTTACGTCATATGTTGCTGACTCAGCAGATTTCTTACCAATATACGCTACCTGTAGAAGTTAAGTTTTATTTAATTAAGCTACTTTACTCAAACATATTAACACAAATGGCTCTTTTGCTGTTTGCAATATTATCATGTAAACAGGAAACTAGTCCCATTGTTTAGCATCACTTATAAGTTTATGATCAATGGATTGTGGACATATTTGTCAGTGGCTTCAGTTTGATGTCTGTAATATCTTTATTATACTGTAAACAACGAGCGACACTTTGTTTAGCATCAACCATGTGTTAGCTTTTCATTTTAAACGCTTTGGATATTCTGAGGAAGGTGATGGTCTTGTGATTTTAGAAAGGTTTTTGTTGTGTATATAAATTGTTCCAATGYTATGCTAAGCAGAACTCCTAAGCTTCACTTCAGTAACATCATCACTCAAAGAATTTTATCCGATGATGAAATTTTTGTAAACATGACGGTAGCGGTTTTCGATGGGTAGCACCGACAGTAGACCGAGCTATCGAGCCGCTCTACGCTAGCAACATGTGATGAGGTAGCACAGATCGTCAGAACAYCTGTCCGTCCAGTTGTGACCTGAACACTTTTTTCCTCCTGGCCATAAAACCAACCTCTGGACCCCCTGATCTGGTCCGTGTCAGATATAATAATCTTTACTGTCATGTCTTCAGGCTACAGATGAAGTACCCATCATGCAACAGCAGATGTCTTCACARAAACAGGCCACTCCTCCTGGAGTTGGCTTCCAGCCTTGGGTACCAGAACACACACGCACCAACACACACTCTGACCTTCCAAGCATTTTAAATATCTATATTTTAACCAAAGAAGTGGTCTTCATTAATGATTCTCCAGACTTTCTGAAGGTCTTGCAAAGTTGTTTTTCTTGGACTTTGGCTCCTTCTTCACTCTTTATCTCCAGTCATATTTTACATTTGTTAAAAAATATATTTTAAATCAAACAAACTTACACCTCAGGACTGAATGAGTGGAAAAGCCGCCTCAAGAGAAACAAAACAAGATCTTCAACAGATTAGAAATTCTGGATCTTTGGGAGTAAAGTATTGTTTAAAACTTTTGCATGTTCAAACATCGTTACACACCTACACTCTCCTCTGTTGCAGGTGAACGGTTCTTCTTTAACATCTCTCTTTTCGTTTTAAAGTTTTCTGTCGCTCGCTCCGCCTCCGTCGCTTCTCCTTTTTGTCTCGGCCAATGGGATCGCAGAGAGCTAGTGACATCATGAAAATAACCACTTAGTGTCTGGRTTTTGTTCTTCTTCATCACCACCCGCTTCGGATGTTATCATCCATTGAATGGACATTATTAGCCGTTATCAGTCCCATAGAATGGCWTCACACTRTCAGCTGCTTAATATGAGGCATAAAGCCACTAARGTYAATTTTAGAGAAAATGACATGGGCTACGATAAAGTAGACTGGACTCCAGCGATAGCAGATTGTTGCATTCCAAYGTAYATGGCACTGGTAACCCACTAGGTGGCACTGTCGAGACAGTCTGAAGCCATTCTATGGGACTGATAACCACTAATAACRTCCATTTAATGGACTGATAACATCCAAACTGGCTGTCRTCACTGTGGCTGCCTCACAAAGTTCTCCCACTCTACACTCTTCTTCCTGCTTCACTTAACTCCACCTCCTAAGGTGCCCCTCGTTGTGGGCGGGGCTTGGATGCATGTAAGGGAGAGTCTGTCCTGGACTGTTGACCTCCGTCTGTGTGTCTCCTCCAGGTGACGTCAGACAACTACAAATCTGTCAGCAGCAGTGTGAACGGCAGCGGCTTCAGACCGTTTGATATGGTGATACCRTTCTCCTTCAGGAAGGGAGAAATCACTGGTAAGGACCGGACCGATGCTGGATTGTTTACAACTTATCAGTGAAGTCTTTGATGCTGAATCCTTTCTGTCTGCCTCAGGTGAGGTGTTGATGCCTTCAGGTAAATCTGCTCAGCCTCTGATCACGGACAACCTGGACGGGACGGTGACGGTGCAGTACTCGCCCACCGAGGCCGGCCTGCACGAGATGCACATCAAATACAACGGCACGCACATCCCAGGTGAGCCGCAGGGACTGACTGCAGCTTCAATTAAAAAACATGTTGGAGGCTTTTTTTTACAGATGTTCATCATGAATMTTGTGTTTCAGAGTCCCCCCTTCAGTTCTACGTGAATCACGCCAGCAGTCCAAACGTGACTGCGTACGGTCCTGGACTGAGCTACGGGGTCGCCAACAAGCCGGCCACGTTCACCGTCTTCACAGATGAGGCTTCTGAGGGTAACGAGCAGAGGACAATCAGTGTTTGATTAGTTTGGAGCGTTTTGTTTAAATTGTGTAGAAGCAGCAGAGCTTTGTTAAACGACCTGACTTCCTGTCCCTCCAGGAGGTCTGGACTTGGCCATCGAGGGTCCATCCAAAGCAGAGATCAGCTGCGTGGACAACAAAGACGGGACGTGCAGCGTCAGCTACCTACCCACTCTGCCGGGAGATTACAACATCCTGGTCAAATACAACTACGAGCACATCGCCGGCAGCCCCTTCAACGCCAGAATAATCGGTCAGAGCACAAAGATGTTTACGTTTGGTTTTTATTTCACCATCGAGCACTGAACTGCAATAAGGGACGAGTCTTTGTGCTTTCAGACGACAACCAGCGGCGCTCTCAGGTCAAACTGGGCTCGGCGGCAGATTTCTCTCTGGACATCAACGAGAGCGACCTGAGCGTGTTGACCGCCAGCATCAAGGCGCCGTCCGGGCGCGACGAGCCCTGCCTGCTGAAGAGGATGGCCAACAACCACATCGGTAACACCAGTCGGCTCGTACTCTCATTTCTTTAGCTCTTGATGTCAACTCCATCCACAATTTTTGTTTCATTTAAAAAAAAAACCCCACGTCTCAAACCGTTCAGCTCATTAAAACCATGGTTGCTGTTTGGYATTTCAACCTCTGCTTTTTCTGCCAATTTATTTTCTCATTAAAATTATTTATTATTAACATCCTTTAAATCTTTCAAAATGTTTATAATCTTTACTGTTTTTAACTTTTTGTTCTGGTTCTGCTTTTTTATTCTTTCTGTTCAGCTTCAACTTATTTTTTTTTCTAATTGTAGCTTATTTCTGCCAATTTTGAGCTTTTTTTCTGTATTTACAACTTTTTTTAAAGCTTGTATTAGCGTATTTTTGCTAATTTAAGATTTTCTATGCTTTATTTCTTTCTGCCTTTTTAGCTACTTTGTATCTTTTTTCAGCTAATTAGATTTTTTAATCTAAATTAATTGATTTCTGATAATTTCAGCTTCTTTCTGCTTAATTTAGCAAAAAACCTCCTGCGTCTTTGTGCTTATTTCAGTTTTTTTAGGCCTCTCTGTTTCTTTCTACTAATTTTAAGATTTTTTATGTCAACTGGTTTCTGCCATTTTAGCCACTTTGTATACATTTTCAGCTAATTTGATTATTTTTTCATCTAAATTCACCCATTTCTGCTGATTTCAGCTTCCTGCTTAATTTAGCAAGAAAGCTGCATTTTTGTGATTATTTCAGCTTTATCAAATACTTTCTAAGCTATTTTTCTGCTAATTTTTGTTGCTTTAGCTAACAATTAATTGCATCTTTATTGTGCTCTTTTTCTTTTTCTTCCATCGACGTGAGCTTTTTAAAAAAAAATTCCACCGCTTGTCTGCTAATTTCAGCTTGTTTCTGCTGCTTTTTTTCAGCTAAAATCAGCTCTTTAAACTGAACTCACATTAACAGTTTTRATATTAAACATTTTCAGAATAAAGCATTCACGTTACATTTTCACAGTTCTTATTTTTTTTAATATCGTCTCCTTCCAGGTATCTCTTTCATCCCCCGGGAGGTGGGCGAGCACGTGGTCAGCATCCTGAAAAATGGCCGCCACGTCCCCAACAGTCCCATCACCATCATGGTGGTCCAGTCCGAGATCGGCGACGCGGGACGGGTTAAAGCTCACGGCGACGGCCTTGTCCACGGCACCACCTTCAACGACGCCAGCTTCGTGGTCGACACCCAGGAGGCCGGTGGGTTCGGTCGGCTTCACTCAGAACTGAAACCTGGTCCGGGATTAACCAACCAGATTGATCCGTTTGTGCTCGTCTGCAGGTTATGGTGGTCTGGCTCTGTCGGTGGAAGGTCCCAGTAAGGTGGACATCCAGACCAGGGACTTGGAGGACGGGACCTGCGAAGTGACTTACTGTCCTACTGAACCTGGGAACTACATTGTCTCCATTCGCTTTGCTGAGGAACACATCCCAGGCAGGAACAGGCTTTTATTTTGAAATCACAACAGATTGACAAATAACCTTCTGCTGAGAAACTAATTTATTTCCTCTTAGAAATACGTTAATCCTTTTTTTTATCTGCTTCAGCCAATTGTCTTCTTATACTATTAGATTTTAGCTAATCTTTTGCTGCTTTTAGCTTAAAGTTTGGAGGTTTTAGCTAACATTTTTGACAGTTTAGATAGTAGCTAACCTTTGCTACTTTTAGTTATTAGCAGGTCTTTAGATACTTTAAGCTAAACTTTTACAATTTTAAGCTTGCCTTTTGGTGGGGGTGTGTTCATTTTTATCAGACTGTAAATTTGGTTACAGAAAAATTTAGACCGTTTATGCGCCAACAGGAAGTCCATTCACGGTGCGGGTGACCGGTGAGGGTCGCATACGAGAAAGCATCACCCGTCGACAGAAGGCGGCGTCGATCGCCAGCGTGGGGAGTGTGTGTGACCTCAACCTGAAGATACCAGGTAAAAACACACATTCTGGTGTAAACGAGGTGTTTTTAATTAAACTGGTTTAAAGGTYTGATCAGCTGAAGCAGAGAATTTGAGACGGAGATGACAAACGTCATAAAGTTTCCTGTCTTCTCTGGTTTCATGTTTTTACTTCTTGTTGTTCTTGTTATCCTTCAGTCTGTACTGTTTAACATTTCTTTACTTTTGTTCCAAATCTGTTTTTTTTCTTCTCCATCATTTCCTCCTCAGCTTCTTATTTTTCTCCTCCTTTCTCTTGTGCTTCATCCTTACCCTTCCTCTGTGTCCTCCTCCTCTTCCTCCTTTCCCTCCATCTCTCTCCTCCAGTAAGTTGGTTCCTCCTGGTCTTGTCTCAGCACCACTTGTCTCGTTCTTCCTTCCKCTCCTCTTGCTCCCTCCGGTGGTCCGGAAGACCCAGGCGTGGTGCGGCTCCGGATCGGAGCGCCTCTCCGAGACGGGTCTGCCTCATCTCCGGCCTCTCCAGCCYGGTTTTGGCGGGAAGAGCGAGAGGCGTTTGGGTTGTTGATGCCTTCAGGTCTGCTGGTAGAGCTGGGGTGGAGGGTGCGTTTTAACTCCTGGGGGGGTTTCTGTGAAAGCTTTGTAACGTGACGCGCTTCACTTTTTTATTTTGCACACTTTACAATCGAACAAGCTAATAGCTGTGCGGGGTCAGGTCAGGAGGTTCTTCGTTGCACAAAGCTCAATAWTTACACACTGTTTTAAAAAGCTTTGTCTCTTTGCAGCGATGGACATGCAGGACATCACCGCWGAAGTCACTTCGCCGTCCGGATCCAGGAAGCCCGCTGAGCTGGTCGCCACGGGCCACGACACGTACTATGTGCGTTTCGTGCCGACGGAGATGGGCGTGCACAGCGTGAGCGTCAGGTACAGGGGCGTGCACGTGCCTGGCAGCCCCTTCCAGTTCACCGTGGGGCCGCTGGGAGAGGGAGGCGCCGACAAAGTGAGAGCAGGAGGTCCGGGGCTGGAGGGAGCTCTGACGGGAGAGCCAGGTAGGCACATCTGGATGGAAAGTCTCATAAAATAGAACAAAACCTTGATTTGTTTTCTCTGTCGCTCCAGCTGAGTTCAGCATCTGGACGAGGGAGGCRGGAGCTGGTGGTCTGTCCGTGGCGGTGGAGGGACCCAGCAGGGCGGAGATCTCTTTCGATGATCGCAAAGACGGTTCCTGCGGCATCTCTTACGTGGCTCAGGAGCCCGGTAGCTAACGCACACGCCTCACCGGATCTTAAAAACACCTGCCGCRCCTTTAACTCACCTTCTCGCTCCCTCCTTTTCCTTTCCAGGTGATTATGAGATTTCRGTGAAGTTTAACGAGCAGCACATACCCGAGAGCCCCTACCTGGTTCCAGTTGTTGCTCCGATGAACGACGCCCGGCGCCTCACTGTTGCCGGCCTTCAGGTGAGGCACGAGGAGACACCTCCACACCCGGAAACTTTTTCCTGCTTTTATTTTATTTTTTCCAAAGGGCTCTTGAGAATCAGTTGCATAAACGAGTGAGCTCATGAATGAGAACAGAAGTGAGAGTTCAGCCTCCTGAGACCCTGTGTCCTCATATGAGGACATTGCATTTGGCCTTTTACCCATGATGCATATTTTTTTCAACTTTAACTTATTGGCCTCATTAATAGACACTACCAGCACCCTCTAGTGGTCCCATGACAATATTACATTCATTTTGAGTGAAAACAAGATGGCAGGTATCCCAATAAAAAAACTTCTACTACAACTCTGGTAAGAAAAATGCCAAAGTAAAAACCCAAATTACTCTATTTATTCATGTATAATACTAGAAATTTAACCCTAAATCATCCATAAAGTGGGGGGATAGTATTATACACGGGTTATTGACAATTAGATTTTTATGCTTCGTAAGCTCAAAAAATGATGACCGTATTATACTCGAGATCATATTATACAGGAATAAATACGGTACCTTTCATGCTTGAAACCAGTGTATTAATGCACRGTTACACATTTAACTTCATAAGGCATGCAAATTTAACTTTTTTAACAGCTGAAGCAAAGAACAATGTTGGTAAAGATAAAGTCCTCATTTGAGGACATTGGGACTATAATTTTATTAATTTAGCCTTGTGGTTGGTTAAACCTGCAAATATTTAAGAGTTTACAAATGTAAATGGTGTAAGTGGTATATTTGGTCAAACTTTTGTTAAACAAATCTGGAAATATTTAGAACAGTTCACAAGCATAAATAGTTCTTGCAAGTGGTAAATTTGTTCAACCAATTAATTAAACCGAGGATGTTCTGGTCAAATCATCTGCAATTTCCTGCCATTATGTCACGTAACGTGTTCTTCAAACTGAGGAGCAATCTGAAAGTTCTCATGGATGATGATGATGATGATGATGATCACCAAAATTACTAGGAAATTTGAACCACCAGAAAGACTACCCTGAAGTTTCTCAAGTTTTGCATGGTAATTTCTCAGGTATTCCTCAAAAATGGTGACATTTTCAGACCCAGTGTCCTCATATGAGGACATTTTTTTACAAAATGCACTTCCTGTACCATAGAGTCTAGTTTGTATTAAATCCTACTAATTTATCTTAGAGAAAGAAAAGATGCACATCCAGGGTCTCAGGAGGTTAAAAAAGACTTTTCTTTATGCAGCTGGCCTCAGGAACGTGGCCACAGCCAGTCGAACAGTTTCTGTGACGTAAACACTGAGTTGTGAGTTTTCGCCTGGCTCTGGTCATCCCTGCTTTATTTTGGTGTGGAACTGTGGGTGTTTCTCTTGTGTTTCATTTAAAGGCTTTCAACAGAACCCTCGGCTCTTCGCTCAGCTGCAGCAGCCGGGCCTCAGCTTGTCCTCCTGCCTGCTTTTTGTTTGTTGTGAGTCTGTTGTTTTGAAGTTTGTCTGAGTTCCCCGTGCCCCTCCGCAGGAGTCTGGTCTCAAGGTGAATCACCCAGCTTCCTTTGCGGTGCGTCTGAACGGAGCGCAGGGCAGGATGGAGGCCAAGGTCCACAGTCCGTCTGGAGCTCTGGAGGAGTGCGTTGTCACCGAGCTGGAGAGAGGTCTGTTGGGGTTTTACTGGTGGACGGAGGTCCGATCAACCCACCTGGTACTTTCTTCTGGTTCGGATACTAAAACACATCTTCTGCTTCTTCTCTCTCTCCCTCTCTTTTTTTTTTAGACAAATACGCTGTCCGCTTCATCCCCAGGGAGAACGGCCTCCATACCATCGATGTGAAATTCAATGGTTCGCATATCCCGGGAAGTCCTTTCCAGGTCCGAGTTGGAGAACCGGGACAGACTGGAGAGCCCGGTCTGGTTTCGGCATACGGAGCAGGACTGGAGAGGGGCACCACAGGTGAGTCACCCRACAAAACGGACTTCACGTGAACTCGTTAGCAAAGATCCTGCATCAGGGGTGTTAAATTTTCGTAGGCGTCCAGTCAGAGTTTGTCATCAACAACACTAAAGCCGGACCCGGATCTCTGGCCGTGACCGTCGAGGGTCCGTCTAAAGTTAAGCTGGACTGCCAGGAGGTTCCAGAAGGTTACAAAGTGCTCTACACTCCCATGGCACCTGGGAACTACCTGGTCAGCATCAAATACGGAGGACCCAACCACATCTCTGGGAGTCCCTTCAAGGCCAGAGTCACGGGTACATGAAGAACAGAACCAGCAGAACCACGACCTGCAACTGAAAGATCTTTGAGTTTAATGTCTTGATTTTCCTCATGAAGGTTTGTTTGGTTTATCCGTCAGGTCCTCGGCTGGTCAACGTAGCAAACGTGAGCGAGACGTCGATGCTGACCCTGGAGGCGCCTGTGAGGGGGACCAGCAGCTTCGGTGCCGTGCCCGGACTGGGTGACTCTGACGCCAGCAAGGTTCTGACCCGAGGACCCGGCCTCAGCAAGGCCTTCGTGGGCCAAAGGAGCAGCTTCACCGTCGACTGTAGCAAAGCTGGTAGGAAACTCTTCTCTTCCAACAGAATCTGTTTGAAACGGCGTTTTTCTTCTTCACCCACTCCTCCACCTCCCCTCAGGTAAGAACATGCTGCTGGTGGGCGTGTACGGCCCTCAGGTCCCCTGCGAGGAGGTTCTGGTCAAACACCTGGGCCACCTGCAGTACAACGTCAGTTACCTGCTGAAGGAGCGGGGCACCTACATCCTGGTGGTCAAGTGGGGCGACGATCACGTCCCGGGGTCTCCGTTTAACGTCACCGTCCCGTGATCCGACAAAGGACCTAAAAAATCTAAATCTGCACCGAGTTTTATTTCCTGAGYTGAAGAGGAAACATCAGCTGCTTTATGAATTACTGTCTGAGTTTCTGGCTTTTAAAACGTGTCAAATAATAAAAACTAAAAATAAAGAAAAAAAACAGGAAACAGACATCTGATTGGACAGATGTTTGAATGCAGTGAATTCAAGAAACAAAATGGTGGATTTAATCAAATTGATGTATTAATTACTGCTGCCTTGAAACTATCAGCTGAATCTGTTGCATTTAGTATATTTTGTACCAACAGTTGATGAAAATCTCACGTGTTTCTGGTCGGCCATAAGAAACCAGCTAATAGAATTGAATCTGAGCTTAAATGARTCAGCCTCTCAGTTAAAAAAGAAAAACTGGACTTTTTTTGTGCGGATTGTTTTTGTCGTCGTTCAGCTTTGTCTCCCAGAATTCCTGTCGATTCATGTTGAATGTTTTCTGTTTACGCTGCCTTCAAACTGCTGTTTCCTGCACAACACACTACTTAACGTGGAGTTCAGGGGTTGGTATTTGTCCTCAGTCCCTTCCTGAACCTCCACACCAACAGACCTGACTTAGATGATCAGACTCCTGATGTGGTGCATCTGATCTGAGTTTGGTTCTGTCCTAACCTTCCTGTTGTCGCCTCATCACTGCTACTTTTGATACTTTTTTTAAAAAATGTGTTTTTGTGCTGGAGGTGGGAGAAGCATCTCATTTTGTATTAGGGAATAGGTGTCTTGATATGAAACTAAATCCTGATGTACTGTACATTTGATCACTAAAATAAACTGGAATGTAGAATATTAAACTCTTCACGGTTGTTCTTTTAAACTTCAGTTCAGTTTTGTTGTTACTTCAATTAACACTTTTATTAATCATAAAATAAAAAGAAATGATCTGAAACCTTGAACATTTTTAGTCAGAACCATAGAGTTTATTAACACTAGAGTGAGCCGCCCCAACCCGTCCACTGTTAGCATCTGTGACGACATGGAGTAAAAATGGTGTAAACAGGGCGTCATATCAACGATTTAACAAGTAGCTCAATTGGATCTGTCACAATTTCTTTTTTATATTTGTATAATAAATTAATTTTTAATTCTTCCACAAAAAAAATCATAAAACAGAGGCGATGGTGAATTGTCAAAAAAACCTCAAGGGGCTTAATAAGTGGCAATCTCCATAGAAGCATATATATTTAATAATTTATAAAAATAAACTTATTTAGAAACCTGAGGATTAATATRGATCTGATTACAATACACAGATCTGTGGTTCAAAATACTCAAAAAATACAAGCTTCAGAATGAAGTAAAAATATTAAAATAACTACTATAAAAAGGAAATCAAATTGGACCTATCTGAGGCGTATTCGAATCATGACTAAAGCATTTCAGGGAAAAACATATCAATTTTATATCAGGGATTAAACACAAATAATAAACATTCACCCAATATGTTAAGGTGAAATGAGAGGAAGAACTTGATGTATAAATTACAGATTGTGGCTTTGAATGTGGAAGGTTCATCATTCAACTAATTCATGAATCCGGAGAGAATCTGCATGGAAAAATCAGATTCACTTTTTTATCACACCAAAACTGAAAAATAAACATCTCTGAGTTCTAAGAAATGTTGGCGAGGATGTGGATCCTTTAATGTAAACCATTCACACATCTTTAGGAAATGTAATAAAATAACTATGTTTTGGGAAATGATATCCAGCGAGTTACAGAAAGTACTAGGATATTTTCATACCAAAAACTTGCTTAGATCTACCGGTATATCTTGGCAGATTTTCAGAAAGCTGGTAGCAGCCAAAAAAGCAATCACCAAGAACTGGGGAAAGGAAACGAATGAATTATTATGTAATGGTTACAAAAATGCTTATTACATTTTTTTTAAATTCTTTTGCATCAAAGCTTCATTCTGAGTGATAAGATGCTAATACACTGACATTTGTGCCCTGTAAAAATACTGAGTAGAAAGGAAATTTGCATTTTTTTTWAAAAAAAGTCAATTTTTCTATTATAGGAATTATTTTTTGCTCATTAAATATCAAATTTATGGGGTAACTTCAACATTTCAAAGTGTTTCATCAAAAGGTGAAGTTTTTGTGGTGGTGCAAAAATCTGCCTTTTTTTGCACTTTTCCAGACGTAGTGATTTTTGAGGTCCAGATTCTCAGAATCTAATCGACCCAATTATCTGGAAATAATTGGCACCTTATACTACTGAAAGGCAAGCAGTGATAAGTCAACCTTTTAATCACACAGTGTCATCTAGTGGATTTTTTTACATTACAGATGGAAACCAATTTGTAGGAAAGACTCAATGTAGGTCAAGTTCAGTACATGACTTAAGCCAAATTCACACTACCGAAGTCGGCACGGATTGTTGCAGTTTCATGACGAAATTTACGTCACCGGTGTTCTCGGCGTAGACTCTTTTAGCACAACTTTTTACCCCCTCCACTTACAACAGTCTGGTCTAAAGTTTGTGGGCGTTAGTGCTGAAAGCACGTGGACCCTGCATTTTACTTCTACCACTCGATTAAGAGTAAGAAAAAAGAAAAAAAGACTCACTTCCAGAGCCGACTGTTGTATCAGAAAGCAGACATAAGAATAGGGGTGTAAGAAAATATCGATACACTGAAATATTGCGATATTTCATTTCCCGATGCTGTATCAATTTTTTTATTAAGGTTTAAAATGTCAACTTTCCTGCTAGCCGTTCATTTTTATGTTGTAGTTCAGCCTCTGACCACTAGTTGGAAGCAGTGAGCCAGCCATTTGGCTCCTTTACCTCTTGAGGTAGAGGCTATTGTTAAGTGTTGGGTGACCATATTGTAATTAGTTCAGCTTCAGAACAAGAATGTTCCTGGCTTAAGTCAGTAAACCAACTGACAGTGGTGGGCAGCACTGATCAAAAAATTTGTTCTACTAGCCCTAAAACACTAACATAATATTTAGGTCCCCTAACTCTAAAGCACTGAAATAACCCAGTCAACCCATGAGCATTCTTTAACAGACAACATGAGTCACATGTTGCTCTCTTAAGACTTAATATATGAACCCAAATATGACTGTGAAATGTCAATGTTAAGTCTCTTAAGACTGTGTGTGATTTATATTTTACAATCATGAAGTCTCTCATTCAGCCGCACGGCTCGGCTCAGAACAACAGTCAAATACCTGATTGTAATTTGTTCAGTGTGATACAGAAAAAAACAACAAAAAAAAAACACACTGTCCTCAATTCTTCTTGCGGTGATATCAACCTGCATTGATCCATAAATTGCGCACAACTTTACCAGCAACAAATCTATTGTCTTCATCCTGTGGAGCTGAGGAATCATCACATCTGAGCAGTTCTGAATTAATCTGCTGAGTTGACAAAGATTTTTTTCTCAGTGAGAATTAAAATGTTTATTAGACAACTCCCACATTCTGTTCTCCTCAGCTGTGTGTGCRCCTCGCAGGCCTGCGCTCTGCGTGCGTTTCCAACTACGTGATAAAAATATCAAAACTTTACAGTTTACAGACTGGACTGAGATTCTTTGATCATTTTTAGACTGATCTATTTTCTTGTATGCGGTTAAATGATTTTCAGTCCCGGGGTTCGGTTTCATGATAGTTCAAGTTTAAACAATAAAAACTCAAACTAAAATAAAAATCTAAACCATGTTCAGACGCTCCTTACATCCAGAAACAGAACAGAGTCATATTTCTGTGGATTCAGGTCAGATCCGTGACTTTGTGGGTTAAAACTGTCGACTGAAAAACTTTGCGTGRMTGCCTCACATTCTCACGGCAGGTTCAAAGTGTGCATATATTTACRCAGACTTTCATGCAACATTGRTTTTTATACATCCCAACGTGGGCRTAGAACCTGGCSCACGCAACATTTTATGCGAATGCACCGTTTATACATGAGGGCCCTGGTGGATAAGTGACACACATATGAACAAAATGTGTGACAGCTTTCACCTTCAGCTGTTAACATTAACGTTGATCAATAACATTTATAGACCTCAGTTAGTGCTTCTAAATTTAACAAGTGCTTATCTACTAAGAAATTAAAAACATTAGCAAAAGCCCTAAAGCACTAAACAGGAAACTAGTTCCCCGTGCTTTAGTGGAACTGTGCCCACCACTGCCAAATGACTGACCAGAATGCTAAAGAGTTAAATAGCAATATAAAAGAAATCATTTATATGCTCGATCGGGCAGGCAGTGGGACAAATCCACCTGCACAAATTTACAGCATCTGTCCAGTGTGGACTCTCATGTGTGAGTTTAAAGTACCTTTCTGGCTAAATCTTTGTCCACAATCCCCACATGCAAACGGTTTCTGTCCTGTGTGGACAAACATGTGTGAGTTCAAATGAGCCTCACGGCTAAATCTACGTCCACAGTCCTCACATAAAAATGGTTTCTGTCCTGTGTGGACTNGTCCTCACATAAAAATGGTTTCTGTCCTGTGTGGACTTTCATGTGTTTGTTTAAATTAGCCTTAAGGCTAAATCTATGTCCACAGTCCTCACATACAAACGGTTTCTCTCCTGTGTGGACTACCAAGTGTGAGTTTAAATGGTACTTTTGGCTAAATCTATGTCCACAGTCCTCACATACAAACGGTTTCTCTCCTGTGTGTACTCTCATGTGTTTGGTTAAATTAATTTTAAGGCTAAATCCATGTCCACAGTACTCACAAACAAATGGTCTCTGTCCTTTGTGGTCTCTCATGTGACTGTTTAAACTATGCTCCTGGGTAAATCTATGTCCACAGTCCTCACATACAAATGGTCTCTGTCCTTTGTGGACTCTCATGTGACTGTTTAAATTACGCTCCTGGGTAAATCTATGTCCACAGTCCTCACATACAAATGGTTTCTGTCCTGTGTGGACTCTCAAGTGTTTGGTTAAATTAGTTTTAAGGCTAAATCTATGTCCACAGTCCTCACATACAAACGGTTTCTCTCCTGTGTGGACTACCAAGTGTGAGTTTAAATGGTACTTTTGGCTAAATCTATGTCCACAGTCCTCACATACAAATGGTTTCTGTGCTGTGTGGACTCTCAAGTGTTTGGTTAAATTAGTTTTAAGGCTAAATCTATGTCCACAGTCCTCACATACAAACGGTTTCTCTCCTGTGTGGACTCTCATGTGTGAGTTTAAACTTTTCTTCCAGCTAAATCTATGTCCACAGTCCTCACATACAAACGGTTTCTCTCCTGTGTGGACTCTCATGTGTGAGTTTAAACTTTTCTTCCAGCTAAATCTATGTCCACAGTCCTCACATACAAACGGTTTCTCTCCTGTGTGGACTCTCATGTGTGAGTTTAAACTTTTCTTCCAGCTAAATCTATGTCCACAGTCCTCACATACAAACGGTTTCTCTCCTGTGTGGACTCTCATGTGTGAGTTTAAACTTTTCTTCCAGCTAAATCTATGTCCACAGTCCTCACATACAAACGGTTTCTCTCCTGTGTGGACTCTCATGTGTGAGTTTAAACTTTTCTTCCAGCTAAATCTATGTCCACAGTCCTCACATACAAACGGTTTCTCTCCTGTGTGGACTCTCATGTGTGAGTTTAAACTTTTCTTCCAGCTAAATCTATGTCCACAGTCCTCACATACAAACGGTTTCTCTCCTGTGTGGACTCTCATGTGTGAGTTTAAACTTTTCTTCCAGCTAAATCTATGTCCACAGTCCTCACATACAAACG